AACGAAAATGGAAACAGCTGAATTTCTTAAGGGCCAGCACCTGATGTTTTCTGGCACATCCACACAGTCAAAGGCCTGTGATCAGGAGCAGCACAGTGAACCATGGCATACACTGTGCCATGTGAGCTCACCCCCAAATGGATATAATGTAGTGTAGCCACACTGACTGAGCACTGGGATGTACCAATCTGCTCTCTCTTGGGTGTACCTATTGGCATGTGTTCAGCGCCGGGCATTACACCCATTTCAGCTCAGCATTTTTACACGTGCTCTTGAATGTGGTGCCAGGCACTTTAATTAGCAAGCCACACCAATTAAAAGCATCTGCATGTCATGTTCATCAGTGCTGCCATGCATCCCTGCGCTGAAAAAATGGTGGTGGGGTGCTTTGAACTAAGGCTCATTGGACGCGTTTTATTTCAAAGCGCACCACCACCATTTGTCAGTGAGGAGATGCACAGCGGTGCTGATATGGGTGACACGCAAAGCTGCTGGAGCACATGAATTTCCATGCTCTACTCAGACTCAGTTAATTGAGTCTGCTCCAACATGCTGGATTTCCAAAGCGTCAAAGCAAGCTTGCCACATATGTGTAGGAGCAACGTATATGGAGCAGGAATGCTCTGCTCCACTGTGGCACTCCCTCTGCTGTCTGTCCCTTTGATGGGGCAGGCAGGCTCAGCAAACCCAGGATTTCCTCCTTGGAGAATATTTTTTAAATGATACTTCTGCCTATCAGGTCCCAGTGGGGGGCTGTGCTTCTTCATTTCCTCTCTCCCCTCCCAGTCTGATTAAAAATTAGGAATGACTTCTCATCTTTAATCCTTCCTAGCATGATTGTTTGTTCACCAGGCTTCATCCGTTACATTATTGCTTGAAAATGCAAGTAGCACTAGAGAGAGGATGTTTCCTAATGATGCCATATCAGTTACTCTGGTTTAATCCCATCAAACACAAACTGTTTTTAAAAAGGGGAAGCAGCTTCATAAATCCCTGATCTGCTACAATGGAGTGAAGAAACTGAACAGGCCGGAAAGCAAGGGAGCTTCATGGCATCACTGAAGCCAAGTTGCCATAGAAAGCCTAGGAAACCTAACTGTGGATCCTATCGGGGGTGTTTTGCCATGAGATCCCTTCTGCTGGTAGTTAGGCTGACCTTGCCTACTACTGTACTTAACTTTTTCTAGGATTTTTTTTTTCTAATACTGTACAGCCCCTTTCTTCTGATTCTTGTTTTCTTGGTGGTGATGGCTCCCTGGATTTATATACTTGGAGAATGACTTAGGCCAAGCTAGGACCAAATGAAAGGAAACCATTTCTTTAAGGCATTCAGATCTATGGCTTACAGACTTCACCTTCTGCCTCAAGACCAAGTCTTTCAGACACTTTGCCTGAATGTATAAATGTCAATATAGTAATAACTTGGGGTGACTTCCAGGATCTAAGGTAATAACACACAGAGGTAAAGGGCAGGAGAGTTTGGTCTACTCTGGGCACAATGTTAAAGGCTTACCACAAAGTGTCCTGAAATTATTATTCCTATGATGACATTTTTAAATGGGGAAGTTAAAAGGGAAGAGGATGCAAAGCGAACTCTTGAAATTACTGACAGATAAGTGGTACTACCAGTACTTCTCTTCAGTCTCATCTTCTCAACCATCAACTGTTTTATTTCTTTCACTCCCTCAACCTTTCTTTTTCTTCATTTACTTCCAGGCCAGCAAGGCTGTGGTCACTATAATGATAAATATTCTTGTTAACCTTTTTTTGTTCATTTCCTTCTGGATTGGAAGGAAAAGGCCCTGTGGATTTTTGCAAGAGAAAGCTAGCAGCTAAAAGAGCTGCTGATATCTAGGAATGGACGGACAGAAGGAAATGAGGCCGGTGGTGGTGCATGGTGGGAATCACCATTAAAACCAATGATTTTCCTCTTGTCTAACTGCCTATTGGAACTTCGCTGGATGTTGTTATTTGGCTTCTCTTTTTTCATGTACATTTTTCTTCAGTAGAGGGAAGTGAGAAACTGAAACAGAATTACCGCTGCTGAAGGAAGCTTTGCTCCTGACAAATAGCCAATCAGAGAAGGAGGATGACAGCACCCGTAATAAGGATGAAATATGGTGATTTTTTTCCATAAACAAAATCCAGAGAGTGCTTATGCAAATCACCCAACTGTTTGGCTGATGCTTGCCTTTAAGCCACAGTATGGGGATATATGGATTATGCTATTAACTGAGATACAACCGCATTCCCATTATGTAAAGTCAGAGGCACATGAGAGTCCAGACAATTTTGGAAGTGGAAGAAATCTGTACAGCTGCATGTAGCTAATGTTCAGCATCCCTGTACTCCCTGACCAGCTGAGACAATGCCATTTCAATCAAGCACAGGTAGTGTAAGGCACAGAGAATCCAGAATATGTGTCTCATAGAATTAGCCAAATTTTGTCATAAACTTGTGGTCCTGCTGGCTGCAATACCGTTTATATGCTTGTTATCTAGGCAAGATTTGTCTTTGATGCAGTTATGTTTTCGTTCACTTTACAAAAAAACATTTTTTTCCCCCTGCAGTAGACGCTAGAGGTCAGAAGCACTTGAAAAACTGGTGGGTTGCTAAGAAAGGTTCTTAACCTGGCCAGTGTAAGGTTATAGGACCACCTGTAAATTAAACACCTGTAAACAGCTTGCTCCAATTTTGTTCTCGTGTTTGCACCTATGCTTGTTTACCAAGGTGGAAATAAGCAAGAGTTTCTGTCCTCACAAATTAAAAAGTCCATCTTTTGCATGGACACTTGTTTACTATCTCACTGTAACATCATAGGTAAGACAAGGCAAGCAGTAGGTTTGCTTCATGGTAACTGGTTGAGGAAAATCTTAAAGCCAGTCTCCACAATTGAATTTTACTTTAACCCTTTCCCTGATGGCTACCTTGCTGTAAATGAAAACATCATCCCTCCCCTGCACCCAAACACACTCAACACTATCTCTTACTACAAAGGGTCATACTGCTATTGGCACTATGCCCACCATCTTTGACTTACTCAATATCCATAAACCAAATACCATCGCACAGATGGTCTTCCCTTTAGTTAGGTTCCAGAAATGTTTCAAACAATTAAACATTAGGACACAATCAATTAGGTTCACACTAGTTAATTTAGGTAGCATTTAGAAAAATAGAAACATATATCTTGGCAGGGAATATTGGCTCTCTGATTCAGAACCAAACTGAAGAAGTCATGAAATATTTAGATGTGGCAGTTACATTACGGAAGTCAGGATGGCCAGCTGTGTTTATTTCTGGAAAGTTAAAAAACAAAAACCAAGAGACAGAACTTTCTATCTAAGAAAAGAAAGGGACCTGATATTCTTTCTGGAGACTGGAAAATGTTGTTGCAGAAGCTGCAAACATGCTGACCCCATAGCTTAGGTGTTTTTTCTTTGCCGCTCCCGTGCAGTCACAAAGTTAAGCAGGTCGATGGCTGTAACAATGCCAAACACCATCTGTCTCTTACTAGATATGCCGTCACTGTGATCTATATGAAAACATAAAAGAGTTTTTTCCCCACCTTTACAAAACTTGAGCCAATAGACAAATGATCTTATACCAAACAGAACAGACTGAGCCACTCATGCAATTTTCACACCATGCCTTTCTCAAACTAGAAGTCAGGGCAAATGATTCCAAAAGTCCAGAGGTAGGGTCAGATATTACTATGTGCCGTAGCTGATGGAAGCCAGCTCCTATTTCAACTGAGAGAACTCTGAGAATGGCTGAAATGTCTGCTAAGGGCTCCCAAGGGGTAGCTGTTGGCACTAAACAGTCATGGGAGGAAAGGCAAGGATCTGTTATGATAAAAAAACAACTGAGAACAAGGGACAGAAATAAGCAGTCTGTTATCAAGATGGAAAAAAAACCCAGCTCTAAAATATGGTACTAGGACTTGATATTTAACATTCTTAGTTATCTGGAATTGGGGTGAACAAGTGTGTTACTGAAGACTCCAGAGGACTGTGCATGACTTCAGAGGGAATTCAGCAAACAAATAGGCCTCACATTAACAGGTGAGATTCTATGTAGAAAATGCAAGATAACAGACAAGGGAAAGAATAAACTGAATTATCATGACACCATGATGAACTGTAAATTAACTGCATATATCCACCCCCCCAAGGTAAATGTTAAGATAGGCAGCTCACTGAAAACTTTTTCTCAGTGCCATGATGCACAGCCCCTGTGTCCGTAGCTTATAATACAGAAGGGACCTGGTGATAATTCATAATACAATGCCACTTGCATAAGCCAATGGCACATCCTAACTCTGAGTATCACTTTTGGTCACCTCACCTATTACAGGATATTGCAGAAAGACTAGAGCATGGCAATGAAAATTAGAGGCTTCAAAAATCTCTTATAGGAGGAGAAGTTATTTAGGCAAATATAAAGAGGAAATGAGCAGGAATATGAAATGCTGAATTGTTTTAGAGATGGTTACAGGTATACTCTCATTTATCTTCTATCTGCTCCCAAAGAAATTAAAAGGCAAGAAGGTTTTTCCATTAAACAACAACAATAACCAAACTAATAAAAGCCCCAGTGTGAGTTAACCTGTGGAACTCGTTGCCATGGGAGAACTGCAATTTAGATCATGTGCATCATAAGAAAAAAAACAGGCTGGATTACAACAGGTTATTCATTAACTAACTCCTACCAAAACAAAGAATAAATAAAATTTATTGAAATGACAAACACAACAGGGTAGATAGAGCCTGTTAGCACTGCTCATTTTGGGCCATTCTTTATTCTGGAATAATGCGACAGAAATCTGTGAAGCAACTCCTGGATTTAATTATTACTTCATATGGATAACAGAAGCAGTACTTCTCCCATTGTTAGCAGTGTAATTATACAGAAATACCATAGTGTAACAGAGACCCTTGCTTTTGCCAACTTGTACCATGCAGGACATCAAAAGCCTCCTATACAGGGTCCTCCCTTGTCACATGGTACTGTGTACATAAGGGCTACATTTTAAAAGGTGCAGTACATTATACTTACACTGAATCTGTTCATGGACTACTAGAGCAAAGTGGTCTATTTCCAGGATATGAGAGAGTTTCCCCAAGTTGTCTTTCAGATGAATCTACAATGAGGAAGTAACATAAAAGCAAAGTGTCCTGTGGTAACTAAATGATAGAGAGCCCCCCCTCACCCCTAACATCATTAAAATTAAAATAATAAGCACACAGATAGCACTGTTCATGATCAGAGTGCTCCATGATGCTATGTCCTAATGGGTACATCCACAACACAGCAATGGCATGCCCTAGTCTGGCCATTTTGAACATGCTCCACCTGCCCTCCCTCCCTCGGCTCGCACTCATACTCCAAACCCAGAAGTGTCCCCTGCGGCCCCTCCAGTGGCTGCTCTCAAACACACTGGAGACCAGAGTCTTAGGAGTAGAGTGGCAGTACTGGGATGCCCTGGAGCAGCCTTACCAACATATTTCCAAGTTTAGAGTGTACAGTGGGAGCATGTTTGGAAACAGCCTGCCTGGGACACACCACCGCTGGGGGCCTCGATATACCCTATTAAATGCTGCTGGTTTTTTGTTTTTTTTTTTTTAAAGAAGCTGAACCTTAAAAAGGAAACACAAAAGAATGTAGCATGTGACATTTTCATTCTGACTAAAATGTAGGAGAGCTGTTTTTTAAAAACAGGGAGTAATGCTGATCTAAGCATCTAATAAAAGACCGACACCATATCATCTCAAGAGTATGCTTACTCACAGAGTTCTGGAAAGAAAAAACAAATTCATTCAGGCTTCAAATTTAGTCAGAAGAGAATTTTTGGGGAAGTTTGCAAAGGGGGTAGAGAAAAGCCATTAGAAAAACAAACCCCCCCAAGAATGAAGAATGCTGAGTTAATGTCTTGTTCAGACTCAGGATAAAGAACCCAGGACCAAGAATTCATTTTTAGAATCAGTAACCCTGTTTAAACTATTTCCTGAGCAAATTGGAACAATAAAACAATACAAGGGCCATATTTTTTTAAAGGCAACATATTCCCATTTGAAATAACGGTACTTAAAAAAAACCCTGGCCTTGACTATTAATCTTATTTGTTGGCAGTGGCTAAAAGGAAGCCAAGAACCCTAAATTGCACAAACAACCAGTTTAATATTTTCTATGTGCTTCAATCAAGGTAAAAACAAATCTGTTTTTTTGGCTGGGCTACTAAACATCTGCTTTGGGAGGGAATTTTCATACAAGTAAAGGATGAACAGGTATAGCAAATGGCCTTTAGCTTGATAAAACCTCAGAATGGGACTAGGAAATAAATTTTGCCCTAAGAACAGTCTAGGCTGAGTTGTAAAACTGAGCTCTGGCTAGTATACTATGGACTAGACCAGGGGTTGGCAACATGTGACCTGCGGGCCAAATCCAGCCCATGGAGCCACTGGATCTGACAGGGGAGGAGGGTGGGACAGACAGCGTGCGGAGAACGATAGCAGTGTGGATGCAACTTCCAGCTGCCTGGCCCTGATGCAACTCCCCACCAGCAGGAAGCTGTGCCCATGCTACAGCAGGGGAGCAAGGGGCTGGGAAAAGCAATGCTAGTGCTAGCACAATTCCCAGCTGGCTATCCATCCTACAAGTCACTCCTGTGTGCTTCACAAACCTGTTAAAGTGCGAACACAGTATAGACTATGAGGTTTTCCCACCTCCCTCCAATTTCAAGAAGTTTCCCTTTCTTAAGCCAAATATTTTACCTGAAAACTGTCTTCAAACCATGTTCTTTTATACAAAGATTTTCCACCATGTCACTGCAAGCATTTTATTCATTTGAATAAACCATCACCTTTTCCTGGTATCTGGGTTTACCTACAGATTGATAAATGCTGAGGTGTTTCATAAATATCTCTTTCCAAACACTGTTCAAAGCTCAGACTAGCTAGGATAAGTTATCAAAGAAAGTGAGTACAGAGACAGCTACAACCAATGCTTAAATTTAAGTATTCTTGATTCTTAATGGAAGTGAACTTATACAATTTGGTCTGATTTCTTCCTCACCATAATTTTTCAAATAGCTCTAATTAAAGCACTCACAGCGTCTCGTGTATTCAGCTTCCCACACTTCAAAGTGGTGGCAGGGATGCTTTATTAAAGCTCATTCAGCTAATTTTAGTTAAAGTGCCCCTGGTGCCATTTTGAAGTGTGGGGATGCTGAATACATGAGATGCAGAAGCTGCTGGAGCGTGCTAATTAGCACACTCCAGCAGATAATTGAGTCTGCTCTGACACGTTGTAATTACAGCGTGTCAGAGCAGCATCCCAGCATATCTACAGGCACCCAAGTTGTCTAAAAGAGTTAGATTTGCACACAAGGCCCAAAAGAATAGAGGCAAAACTCTAAACAATGTTAATGGAACCAACACGTATTGGATCAGGCTCAAAGTTTTCTTGCTAGTTAGCATATAAACTCTCTTCTGCAGTCAATGGAAACAAGATACAGTGGAGGTATTCGCTATAAGGCGAGTAAAAAATTTAAACCAAGCTAAAAGAGGTGGCCAATTAAACCCAAAATGCTTTGCTTGCAAATTCTCTCTTCCCCTACAGCTTTTGACTGTTTGGAACTTTTTGGTTCATTTGGTCTTCAAAGCAGTTACTATATTTTCTATGCATCTGCATAACACTGGGCAATTGTTAGTAGCTGATGCATTATTCCTTTGTTCTTCTGAAAGAATCTGGGAATAACATTATCCAGCTTCTTTGAGTCACACTTTTGTGGCTTGCTTGTGAGCTATGTCACTTCTCTGCCTGTCACTTTGCAATACTTGATTGACTAAGTTATTTCATGACTTAAGTCTTCAGTTTTAGGATAAGGGTCATTTGGTAACTTTAAATCAAAGCTGGAGTTAATATTCTTCAAATCCAAGGTGACCAAACTGGTAAGAAAAGATTGTGACAGCCACTCCAGAGAGGGTTTTCATTGTCTTGGTAGCATCACATTGTCTTTGTCTTTTACTTGAGGTGTGCTGTGCCAAAGATCTTTATCTAGAAAAAATACTATATGCTATCTTTGTAAAAATGTAGCACCCTTACTATCCCAGGTTCACTAGCAGAGGTTCTAAATAAGCATAACCAAAAAGAGCAAGAATCTATGGTGCTTCTGAAAGGTAGCATATGTAACCATGTTGCTCCAATGTATCAGTAATTCAAAACTTTAAAAAAAGTAAAGTTCTAAAAATTTAGACAAGAATGAATTATACCATGACCAGTACATCTAGCATGATAGTGGTTACCAGGAGATGTAGTTGGAGGAAAGGTGGATATTCAATTTGAGACCATTTAAGGAAACTGGATGGGTAGTGTGTCCATGGAAAAATACAACCTCAGAAGCACAGGAAATTGCCTGCTGTAGCTACAACCAAGACTACACCATACAGCATAAGCAACACATGGCTTATTAAAGTGAGGGAAGATAGGAACTACACAGCTTTGTTACGCACCAGACTGTCACCTGACGTTTGATTTGCTGTCTGGGGAGGAAAAATATATATATTTTTAATTACATCTACAAAGCACTAGTGCTTCCTTTCATTCTAAGCTATAAAGTAAATATCCAGTACAGTATACACAAGGCTAATATAATAATTATATATGATTGAGTAGAGTTCCTAAGTATGGGATATTATTTGCTACTAAATGTAATATTGAAACTACGGCCTGGAGAAAGTGGTGTAAATCACTTCACGTGAAAGACAGGCCTTTCCTTAAACAAAAGGAAACAAAACACATAATTAATTAAACATATTTATGATATGACAAGTTTGGCCCATTGGGACTGCCAGTTAAAGCTGGCTGCTATAATGCATTGTGCACTTTGAGGACAGTCGGAATTAGTCAGCCACCAAGCTGTTGAAGGGAGGTGTTTGTTGCAAAGAGACAACAATTGCTAGTTTCAGCCACCATTGGACTTTACCCCAGCGCAGCTTGAAATTCCATCATTTCATCCCAAGAAGCTCCACATTGCTCAGTTTTGCCATTAAGGTTTGGAAAAAGACAGACAGAAGTACTACAAGAAGTCCTAGCAACAAACACAACCCAACCACTATCAAAGTCAGAGAGAGTTTTAATGGTCTAATACAAAACCATGAATCAGCTCAAACCTGAGAACTTTTCAGTGACTCTGTGTTCACTTTATAAAGTTGGAAGTGTGCCCTAAACCCAGATCTCCATGGTTGTGCCCTCCTCCCTCATGAAGATATTGTCAAATCTCCCTTCAAATCTTATCCCAGTTGATGCCAGTGTAGTGTTGAGACATCTCCATAGTACTTTAATAGTAAAGGAGAAGTTGACCTAGAATACACTTACCTGTCTGAACTGCTTATAAATTACTTTGCTGACTTGGTCTGAAGGCTTAACTTTCCCCGCAAGTAGTGAAGAAAGCATGTTTCCAAGGGTAACCATTCCCAAAATCACACTGAAAAGAGAAGGCATGGTCAAACAATGACAAACATCCAAGGTTTTCTAGAGACAAGTGACACATGCTCACTCTGAGCAGGTTTCGGCAGTGCAGTGCCCCAAGAAAGTCAGTTTAATGGTCTTAAAGGTTTAAACACTATATCCTGAGGCATTACCAGATGCTGAGTGTCCACCTGGAGTTGCCCTAGGTCTGGTTTTCAAGCGTGATGGGTACCTGCTCTCAAACTGAAATCAGTGGGAGCTGCAGGTGGTCTGCAGGACTAATGATTAGGTGCCTTGTCCCTTCAGCTGGGCATGCACATTCAGGGAAGAGTTTTATATATTAGACTTTGTTTTACTGTATCCCACTTTGACCTACTGAAAGCTCAAGAATAAAATTTCTCTCTGCCTCTACCTATTGTTCTGGCAACCTTTCCCCATTTGGGAAGCTTTGACTTTTCCCTTATGGTGCTTTAGGCAGTGTAGCTCTTCCTTGCCTCTGTCCCATCACCACAAAGTGCCAAAAGCTGAATCATCAGTGGCCTGCTCCAGCCTGAGGTTCAGAACTAGCATGATCAGAAATGGCCGGTTTTTGCATGTCTCATTTCTGGGTGCAAACTTCCTGTCTGGATTATGGTTGAAGTTCCCAAGGTGTATTTTTAAGTTTCTTTAGGACCTGGTTAATGACACTTTCCTGATTTCACTGCAGCAAAAAGGTGTGGAGAGTCTGTAGAGGCAACAGAACCACAGTAGTGGTATTTCTTGCTTAGTTTCTTTTTAATAGGAGGTTGTGTTCTGACCTTTTCCTTGCTAGAGGCCCACAACAGTCACCCAGACATAAGCAGGGGGATAACTTCATTATAGACAGACATTATGTGTCATGTCCCCGTACTTGGAGGCGTATTAGATCAACAGCAGGACAGTTCCAACCTAACAACATTTTAAGTCTGGGCTCAGCATGGCATTTAAGCAGAACATTTCTGAAACCTTGTAGACCCTTCCTGAAGACTACAAATGACAGAATTCACACTGCTTATTTACAGTGCATAAATAAACCTGTTGTCTGTTTCCAAGGGGTTTCTGTATTTGCAAAGGAGGAGGCCAAGAAGGAAAAGATGGATAAATGAACATACCCAGATTCATCGACAACTGGTGCCTGGTCGAATCCCTTCACCCGGAGGATTTCAATAGTCTTTTCACAGGTGACAGTAGGGAGTACTGTCAGGGGAGCAGAGAGGCTTAACTCCTGAACACTGAGGTGCCACCACCTGAGGACCAAAAGTCAATCACCAAAAAATAAATTTGCTCCAAAACCAATAATAGGTTATTTTAAAAGCCTAGAGCACTACCGGTGCCATAAATCTCAACAACAACATGTTTTCTGCAGAGGACCATTAGCCACGTTTAAAAATAATCTTTATTTAAAATGTTCACAGCTTCCTACCTCAGCACCAGAAGGATCTCTAAAAGATTCTAAGACTTGGGAAGGGAAATGGTTAAAAGTATGTCCCTTTTCCATTTTATTTCATTCATCTTGTTTCATAATCTTATGCGGCAGACGGCCAGTAAAAATTACTGACTGCCCTAGTACGGTTATTTAAAATTTCATTTACAAAAATGGAAAGGAAAGGTTTTAATTACTGTATTTCACAGTGTATAAGTTGACTTTTGAAGCCCAATTTTTAACTCTTAAAATTCAACCTCGACTTATACACTGTATCACCATCCCTCTTGAGTGGGCCCGGACTCAGTGCTCAGCTGGGGCAACCCAGGCAGCATCACTCGCAAGGGATGGGGGCACGCTACCCAAGCGCCAAGCCCAGCCCTGTCTGCTATGAGTGGTGCTGCCGAGCACTGAGCCCAGCCCTGTCCCCTACAAGTGGTGACAGGCTCAGTGCCCGGCCCACAGTATAGGCACACAGGGTCCGGTATTAGTTGACCCCATGTTTCCAATCCAAAAAGTTAGAAATTTTGTAAATCTGGTATACAAGTCGACCTAACTTTCTGGATCAGAAAAATGGGGTTGACATATACACTGTGTCGACCTACACACTGTGAAATATGGTACAACATTTCAACTACATAAGCACCTAAATTAAGTATGGCACTATGTGTTCCTTTTGCTGCTGTTCTGAATCTCCATTTCACGTGATTGTTACAATTACTCACTGTAGTTGCAGCTTGGCTCAAATTATAGCACCAATTATTTGTAATGTAGTAATACCTAGAGACCCCAGCTCAGGCCAGAGTTCTTCTATGCTAGGCACTGTACAGACATATTGTAAATGTCAAAGGTCAAGGTAACAGATGTGCTTGTGCCTAGTTCACCCTGTCTAGCCTGGCTAAGGCCCATCACTTTCTGTATGCACACAGAGGAGTCATGTGATTAGTGTCACATCTGGCTGCCTGTAACCCACTCGCCCTCCAAGCTTGAAAAATCAGGTACTTGTTTACAGCTGGGTTGATTGGCGCTGGCCTTTGTCATGAGTCTGGCACGATTTGTGTACAGTCAATTTCCTTGGCCTTTCTAGGCAGCTAATACAGTTTCCTCTTTGTATTAATATGTGGGTTTTCCACAGAGTAAATAAGAAAGAAAAATATTTAAATAAAAAATAGCAAAGAGGGATTGTAAAAACCATGCCCATTACAAAGGTCCTGGTGGCAGTAATATACTTGAAACTATTTTTAATTCTCTTGCTGCTGACTAGATTTCAACTAGACAATGTCGATTTCCTGGGAAAAGGATGCTTCACAATTGGAGGAGGAGTTTTTTCCAACAATTTTCACCAAGACTCATAAGTACCAATCCTTACCAAAAATATAACTCAAAAGGAAATATTCAAGTGATTTAAGAAGGCTTCCTGTTCCCACAACTGTACCTAGACACCAAGTTCAGTGACAAATAAAAATACCTAAGGAACCTTGATAAGTTTGAGAAAAAATGGAGTAGTTATAACAGAATAAGCTCATAAAGCTTGAGTGAACCTTACAAACTTACCAAGGTTTGTTACTGCGGGTATCTTCTTCTTTCATGAACCCCTTCTGTGTCATCCATTTGTCACTCAGGAACTTAGACCTAGAAACCACCAAGAACCAATGAGCAAGCCAGGGGCTTATGAATCTACTAACAATAAGCAACATCACATAATACAACATTGTAACTGCACATCCCATCCTCACACATAATGGGGTAATTGCAAACTTGTAGCCTTTAGGAAGTCAATTCTAACAATTAGGAGAAATGGAAGTAGAACATTATTAGAAAAAAGAATAGAAACCCCTAGAAAATGAAGCAATAATACAAATATGTACCTTGTAATGGAGGAGTGACTGCATGAAATTAGCATGTGCATGCAGTTTCAATGTACTTTATAATGCAAAATGTAAGAGTACTACATAACATTACTAAAAGAAAGACTGTGGGAGGGTATTTTCAAGGTGACAAGAGGGGAAGTTAGCAATGGAAATTAGGCCAAAAATATTATGGAGCTCCCCTATGACACTGGCTGTTACTACTGTAGGACTTTACATTGAAGACACCACAAGGCAGGGAGAATAAGGAACAGGCTTATATATGACTTTCAAACCATTAAATACCACTAACAATTCCCATTACAGTAACAAGAGAGAAAATTGGGAGCAAACTTTCCCTTACATGGGTCCCACTTTCAGAAACTGCTGAGCTCCCCACCTATATCTGACCCCAACAAGGCTGTCAAAAGTTGTACCTAAAAGACACCTGATACTCAGGGAAATGTTAGCTGCAGTATGTACACACACTGCCACTTCTGTGACAGCAGCCAGCATGAAACAGGAAGTAAACCAGGTCATTTCCTTACATGTAGTTCCTGACAGAGTCAGGCAAGATGACAACGCAGCGCTGACCCTCCTTCAGATCCTTGGCAGCCTTCACAGCGACGGACATTGCGCTACCCGAGCTGCCACCTGCCAAAATCCAGATCATACAGTAAAAAAAATAAAAATAAAAAAATAGAAAAAATCACCGTATATGGAAGCCATTTTTTAGACAGAAGGTGGCCAGAACTTTAATTTCAGCACTGCGCAGGTCTCCCGTCACTAGTGTAAAAGATGCACATGAGGCCACCCCACTGAATTTAGAGGAAAATATGGAGGACTAGTACTGGCTCTTACCACACAGCAATCCCTCCTCTCTGATCAGCATGCGTGCCAAGACAAAAGACTCCTCATCATTGCTCTTGTACCACTTGTCCACCACCTATAATCATGTGGTGGGGAAGAGAGTCAAAACAACATAGTTTTAATTTCTCCCTGAATAAACAGATGCCGTTCAAATTACATATGTAGAAAATTCCGCGCAAACTGATCCATATATTCTGGCTCACATCCTTAAAATGCTTTTTTGCTCAGTTAACATTACTGTGTTATTTGCAGTTTTCAGTATTCTAACAAAAAGTATCTTGCCTTTTAAAAAGGCAAGCATGGAAAACACTACAAGGAAAAGCAATTGTTTTACTTTCTTCTCACTTGACTTTCCAGGAAATATACTCCTCTTTGGCACTTAATGTTACTAAGGATCAAGTTTTTGGGTTTTTTTAAAGAACAGTATTAGGTTTCCAAGGAAAACTATCTGCATGGCATGTTTTCACCTAGAACTGCAAGAAAGTGAGAGGTATGTGCACTATGTAGGCTATTTTAACCTCTGGGAGGCAGTGGGGAGGGCTTTTCATTGTGAATACAGTTCTTCAAAATTAAGGAATACTTCTCTTTTTCCCACTCTTTCGCTCCCACTCAGTGCTATTTCCAGTTTATCCAAAGCCCTTTCTTCCTCAAAGCAAAAAGTAAAGAGCGTCTGACTTACTGATCTATCCAGCACCGTAGGGATGAAATCATATCCAATTCCCTCCACCTCATATGTCGTCACATCCGTCTTATTCAGTACTTCAGGCTCAGCAAGAATGGAGCCTTCGGGATCAACGCCAATGATCTGGAGAAGCGATTTCAGATTTGGCTGCTGTTAGGTTGATTTTCAAAATGCAGTAATATCACATCAAGTTATTCAGGCCTGACAGCTATCTCCCCAAACTGTCACATCAGCCATCCAAATGCCAGCCACGCTAAGGGCAGCAAGTCGTATTTATTTATTATTTTCTGACACTTTGCAAGTTTCCATGGATGAACTCTCCTGCTGCTGTCAGCAACTTGTTCTACTTCAAATGCCAGCCTGCATGACACTGTATGTGAAAGGCAGTGCTCATTCTTTGCAGCTTTCATTTGCCTCCAAGGAGGCTATGGGGCAAAGACAGCCTTGGATCCCCATTCAAATGCTAGTTCTTGTTATGGTAAATACATTGTATGCCAACAGAAGTCAGCAAGTCTTCCTGGTGTAACAAGGCCTTGCTGTTAGAAACTGGATACTGGCTTAAATGGGAAATGGAAAGCAGCCACCAGGAGTCATGAAGAGAGAGAGGTGGGAAGAATGTGTAACCTAGCAAGGCATGCAAAAATTGCCACCTCACTTGAGAATTTTCACAAAAAACGGCAGTTCAGTAAAACTGTCCACTGTAAAACTCAGTGAGGGTATGGAGACGTATAAACATCTTTTAGAAACATCAGAAGTGTCTGGAAAATTTGCTACAAAAGAAAAGACCAGCAGTTTCCCAATCATTGCCACCTGTAATTGGTGGACCGACTTTCATTTCAGGAGCAAAATGTAGACTTGGGTCACAAATGAAAAGAGAATGTGGTGGCTTCGCAACTTCGTGAGCATCTTTTCACAGCTCATAACTACCATTCAGTGATGAACAGCTCAGAGCCTCTCCCTCTCCCTAAGGCACAGTATTGTAATAACAGGAATGGTACAGGGAAGTAGTGAGAAGTTATTTCTTCCCTTGAGAAACTTGGCAAGCCACTTGCACCTAGACCAGTGGTTTTCGACCTGTGGTCCATGGACCCCATGCAGGTCTGCAAACTATGTCTAAGGGGTCCATGAAAGATGACTACGATCAATCAAAAGTATGCGAATACTCGCACTTACCATTCCAAGGGGTCTGCACCTCCATTCAAAATTTGTAGGCGTTCGTGAATGAAAAAAGTTTGAAAACCACTGGTTCAGAGGGTTAAGAAGATGCTTTAATTTTGCCACTTACTTTGCATTCTGGGCATTTCTCCTTCAACTTTCTGGCAATGCCAGTGATGGTTCCTCCTGTTCCAGCTCCAGCCACCAGCATGTCTACTTTTCCTATTTAAGTAAAAGGAAAACAAATACCATAATGAAAACATCTCCTAGTATTATTAAAAATGCTTTTACAGGCCAGGAAGGGGAAGATTTATTGCTTTCTCCAATGCAAGTACAACTGGTGCAAGAAAGCTGATAATGTAAATGGCTCATTACCTCCCTGTAGGTATATTCAAAGTCCTAATTTTTTTACTTTTTTCAAGCCCTGCTTTGTCTAAGAGGATCCAGTTTTATCATCAGTCTTTTGGGTGATCTTTAAGGCTCTGAGGCAGGGCTAAGGGTAGGTAGGTCATATGCACCATGTTGTTTCATTATAATTTGCTGATACATATGTACCTGTCCTCTAAAATGGGATAAACTGTCCATTATCAAACATAAATTAATGAATTTTAAAGGGGCCCATTGCATGGAAGTCTTTTATAAGTCAGAGTAGAGAAAAATAATTTCTTACTTTCATGACAAGAATAATTTATTATTGCTCTTTGCTCCTCACAGCATGGCAGCTCACTTTGTAAGTGAGCTGTTCTCCAACTCATTTTAGTTCTTCATATACATCAGCAGCATTGTTGACTAAATCCTGATTGTAGTGCTGATATTTCCGGTAATAATTTACTTGAAAAAAAAATAGCACTTAATTTCCAGGCTTTTATAAAAAAGCTAATATATGCAAACCAAAACAAGGACAGACAGACAAACAGGGCCGGATTCTGATATTACACTGAGGTAATTCCTGTGACTGACAGAATTACTGGCATATTCTCATGTAAATGAGATTTTAAAAAATGCTCCAGACTTTAAGAGACCAAGGGAACTCATCTGGACTCTCAGGCCATGTCCACATGTGGTGTGGACATTTGGTTCCCCAGGGACAACTAGCACTGGTGTACCTTGTGCCACCACTAGGTATCCCTGGGGCATGCCTGTGCCACGTGGACTGTGGCATGCAGTAAGTTACTCTGGAGGCAGTAAGAGAGGCTGGGGCCAGCACTGGGATGGCCCCAGCAGCCTAACTAGGGTTCTTGGGGCCTCCCGGGGCTGCAGAAGTGGTGGTTCTGCTGCACAGAGCCTGGTTGGCAGCTGCAGCGCAGCTCCGGGTGGCCTGGCTTTGCTTTTGAGTGGTGTGCGCTGCCTGTGCATGAATTGCTCTGGATTTTTCCCTCTGTTTTTTTTATCCAGGGGTCAAAAAAACCCTCCACACTGCTTCCTTGCAGCACGAAGAACAACTGAACATGAGGTATGTGACGCTGCAGATGTGTCTGCAGTGCCACCTACTGCATGACCATGTTCATCTGGACGCAACCTCAGAGGCTACAGTTAGCAGGGGTGCCATCCCAACATGTGTAAACTGCAGAAAGCATGCACAGACAAAGCAAATAAACCCACTCCGCTAATTTTAAGAGTATAACTACACTTTACCATCCAGATTGTTTTCATCAAAAAATCTAATGTAATCACATATTTTGTTATTAAGCCCAATAAACATAGGGAGAAGCTGAAACCAGTAGTTTTATGGGAAAGACCAAGAAACCTGATATAATGCTCCCCTTGAAGCAACAACTGACCAATAAACTTGTCATTAATACAAATCACCTATGCAAGGCAGGTATATTCCTAGGGGCATCATTAATTATGAACACATTTTTTTGACGGAGTAAAGGCCTTTCCACAGCATCTGGTAGACTGGAATTAAAGTCATGCATTAAACCAAATAAAAAACCCAAAAAATGAATATCCCTTTCAATGTAAAAAAAAATCCCCCAAGCATGATTTAAGCTAAGAGGGTGTAAAGAGCCAGGGCTTTTCAAAAACTTTTTGGGTGCTCATAAACACACCGAAAATGCTTGGTACTTTCACTCTTCTGAAAGTTTTCTTTATCATTATCATCATCTTGCTTGGCCGCCACATTGACAGAACAGTAAAATAAAAGGCTGGGCGCAGGGGTATTATGAGATAGTTTTTACTTCACCCCACACATCTCTTCCCTAGCTAGAGGTTTGCCTCATTTCAGCTGTTTAAAAAGTATCATGAACTGTACGAGAGTCAATAGTTTTATGCTACCCTGCCCCCAAGAGCACCTTTCTCCTAATTGCTGGTATAAGTAAACAAGGATAAATCTAGAGACTAATTAAAAAAAGGAGATGATCAGAAGAATAAACATACCATCACACTGCTGCAGAATCTCCTCAGCTGTGGTGTCATAGTGGGCCAATGGGTTACTGACATTGCGGTACTGTAACAAAACACAGAGGAAAAGATCTATGGAATGATAGAACAAGTGATGAGATCAGAGTTTAAAAAGCAAAAGGAATGGCAAATAGTCTTCAAGCCCCACATTGGCAAATATTACTCTCATTAGGTTTTAAATTTGTCAAACTGTCTTGGTTCAGAATTGCCTCCTTTTAATGCATCAGTTTAAGCAGGATAACCAGAGGTACTTCTAAGGTCCCAGCATTCTTTACAGCTAAGACCAATTTGCTTGTGGGCTTATCAGCTGTAAAAGTTTCAACTTTTCTACAATTCGGAAATGTAGAACTGTTGATTTAAAAGAGAACACTTTTCACTGTGTAAGCCGGGCTAACTGTGTGGCTCTTTGCTCCCCTCTAGTGGCTAAACCATATGTATAAAACAGTGTTTCCCAAACTTTGATACCTGGGGGGTACTTTTTACCTGGATTAAAACTAGAGGCACACTTCTCTCTTACACTTGAAAAGATGCATGTATCTATATATATGCGTGCATATATGCACGTATGTATATAGATATAAACGTGTGCGAGGGCACACATGTTTGTAAGCATGTGTGTATTTATGCACGCACACATATACACCAACCCTTCTCACTCCCCCACTTCACAGCTTCTCCTGATGGCCCAGGAAGCAATGGAGTAGTGGAGGGGACAAGCTGGGTTGCAAAGTGCGGTTCCATTTGTGCATCCATTCACTGGCATCAGAGCTTGCTACTGGGAACATGGGGAAGGGAGGTGGCACAAGGACTGCACAGGGCTGGGGGTGAGCACAGGAAAGATAGCAGCAGTGGCAGCAGTCTCCCAAGAAGTAGTCACAGATACCACTGGAGTAGTTGCACAGGCACAGGATGCCAGACAGAGGAGGGCATTTACCTCCTCACACAGGAAGATCTTGTAGCACTTCTATCACTCTTGCAACACTCTAGCATGCTGGTGTGGAATCACTGGTATAAAAGACAGCATCCACAAGAATTCTGGCCTCCATGTACTTCCTGGACCACCATGGCAATAACATCACCTCAGTACTACTAAACCATCTGTAGCAATTTAGAAGTCTGCTCCTTTTTCCTGAGCTAAAGGATGCTGTAATCTTATGTCTAGGCCCAGAGGTCTTATGTTCAGATTCCACAGAGAACTGTCTGGGCCTGTTGTTCTGGTTTCATCCATGGAGACCAGAAGAAGACATTACCGATCAATCTGTCTACCTCATGGGGCAACTCTATTATTCAGGACCGTATACCTGGTCTAGTATGTGAGAATTGGGAATTTCATTTTTCAGTCTCCATGCTACTCCCACATGAGATTCAGGTGAGTCAAATCTGGCAGTTGTCGGAGTCCTCACAATCTCAGCACCAAGAGCTCTCAGAACATCCACCTGAAATCAGACAGACAGTCAGCCATAAATGTCCATCAGCACAGAGATCTTAGGGGCAGGCAGGAAAACAATAAAATTAACATAAACAGGAGTGGGACTTCTCAGGCCTCCCTTGCCTGCTGTCCAATGTCTCTACCGTTAAGCCTCTGGGGGTGAAGGACCAGATCTAAATAAAGTTTTAGGCACCAAAGGCACATCCAGATGAACAAGCATGCTTAGGGGCACATATACTGGTGCCGCTGCTTTATGCCCCAAGACATCCAGCACACAGCAAACTGTCCTCAGTAGGGTAGAGGAGGCTGGGGCCAATATCTGTGCTGGCTCCAGCAGCCTTACCTAGGGTCCTGAGGGCCTTTCGAGGCAGCAGCAGTACTGATCCAGCCACATGGAGCCTGGCCAGCAACCAGAGTGTGGCTCTGGATGGCCAGGCTTCACTTACAGTGGGTCATGCTGGTATTGAATTTTGGTGCCATTCTGGTGTCAAATTTTGGTGCCACTCTGCAGATTAACAGCACAGCAAATGGATGCAAGTGCGCTGCATGCAGTTTGCAACTTAGGAGAAATACAGGTACCCAAGTTTAAGCGAGTGATCCACAAAACTCTGCCTACCTGCTTAGACACCTCAGAGACCACGAGTATCTCAGTTTTAACCAATAAAGGTCTAGTAATGCCTATGCCTAAAACTGCCACCATCTTATTTAAACTGATGCAGCACCTCATGATGAAGTCCATGTGGGATCCACAAACTATGTGTTCCCTATGTCTCAGTGCCCTGTGGGGTTCTATAAAGAAGGACCTTATAGTGGTTGGAACATGGACCCAAGGAGTAGAAGAACTCAGTTTCAGGCCCTCTTCAGCCTGAGGGTGTTCAAACCCACAGATCCCACCTCCTAGAAGAGTGCCCTATCTCCTATGTTATGGGAAAGCCAGGATGAGGGATACTCTCCTCTGCCTCTCACCAGCCACCACAGAGAAAGGAATGCAAGATTCAGGGAAGCAGATGGAAGAGGAAGCCTGGCTTCCTAGTCCAGGAATGAGGGCACACCCCTGGAAAAGGTCAGTCTTGGGTTCCAGCCTCTGCTCTCAACACTGTTCGTGTATTTTACCCAGTAGTTCTTTAGTGCAAAAAAGCATAAACAGGTCCCGAATATGAACTTGGCCCAGAACCACTTCCTCTTCCTATGGCCATGCTTTGACTGGGACTTCAGGAGAGGGGCAGAATTGCAGACATGCTTTTCCCTTCTGCATTTCATGTGGATCAAAGTTTCCTTAAATCAAGGAAAGACCATCTTTGCTTTTTATCTATCTGCCAATATTCCAAGGACTGAACTTAATTTTAGACCCCTCTCTCTGATCTCACCACTCAATAGGTAACGTGGTGGTAGAACATCCTGTTCTAAGCTGTTTCCATTGAATTTACCCAGAGCATCTAGTCATCCTTTCTCTTCCTAGATAAACACCTTTGTATTTCTACTCACATCTGATACTGGTCTCGTCAGCAGGCCTGTCACCACTCCTACATTTAGCAGTTTTACAATGGCTGGCAATGTCACCTCCATATAACCAATACCTTTTCTGTTTGCAGCTGCCCACTAACTTTCCCATCAGCTCCAACAGCAAACTATACAATGCACCTTTGTCTGACCAATTATTGGCAGTACATCCATATTCAGTTTCACAACCAAGCACAGAGCATCCTCCTCCCTCATCATGATCTCTGCATGTTCAGGCAAGTTTAACCTTGTGAAGCACAAGTCATTCTGACTGACAAGCCCAGTCACAGCCAGAGGACCCACTCATAACCACTCTTTCATGACTAAGGGAGAACCAGTTTAAATTGGAACAGAACCCCACTACTCTAACTAGTTCTAACTAGCTGGAGCAGAATAGAAGACAGCAGTAAACCTTAGTCTGGAGAAGAGAAGACTGAGGGGGGATTTAATAGCAGCTTTCAACTACCTGAAGGGGGGTCACAAGGAGGATGAAGTTAGACTGTTCTCCATGGTGGCAGATGAGAGAACAAGGGTCAACACTCTTAAGCTGTAGCAAGGGAAGTTTAGGTTAGATATAAGGAAAGTTTCTTACTAGGGGGGTAGTAAAGCAAGCTACCCAGAGAGATTGTGGAATCTCCATCCTTGGGGGTTTAAGGCCTGGCAGACAAAGCTTTGGCTGGGATGATCTAGTTGGGCATGGTCCTGCTTTGAGTACGGAGCTGGACTAGCCCTCCTGAGGTCCCTTTGACTCTTATTTTCTATGATTTAAAAAAAAGATGGATGTTGGGTTAGATGCAGCATCAATGTCACTGTATGGGCACTGCTATCCATGTATGATTTTATGGTTAGAGTAAATGAGTATTGACTAATATGGTCTTAGTTCAAAAGCTAAAAGATGTTCTATAGTCCTCCCCATACACTTTCACTTTATTCTCCCCCACATTACATGTCCCCTTCTAGGTTAACACTGACCTTCTCCATGCTCATTTTTTCTGGCATCACAATGATGCAGCGGTAGCCTTTCACGGCAGCAGCCAGAGCCAGCCCGATACCTAGAAACAAACAAATACATACAAAGTATGTTATGAGGGAGCTCCATTTTAAAGAGGACAATTCTTCTCAGACTGAGGGGGTGTTCTTGCAGCAGCCAAAAGGGTAACCAGATCTTGAAGGTACTTAGGGAACTGGATTTTTGCACTGTCAGCATGTGCTGACTCACTCCTGACCAAAGTCAGAAGCAAACTAAGCAAATCTTAAGTAAATCTAAGTTTCCTGGACAGATTTCTCAAAACCACTCTGGTACTGCCCCCCATGGTTCAGATTAAGCATGGAGGTGAACAGGAATTCATGGCTTTTAAGGGCAGACGGACCACTGCAATCATCTAGTCCAGTGGTGCCCAAGCTTTTTCCCCGTAGGCCAGATGGGAGGTGCTAGGTCCATCTGCAGGTTGCATCTGGCCAGTGGACCCAATCCAATAAGCAGAGCCAGTGAGGTGGGGAACAGATCTGGCCATGAGGTGGGAGAGATGCACAGCCCAAACCTAATCCATTTGCCTGGGGGATGAGTGGGGAGTGGCTGGTTCTAATCTGGATGCATGGGAGGGAGAGAGGCAGGGCAAAGCATCCAGGCCCCAGTGCAGACATGAGGGGAGGTAGGGGGGAGATGGAGGTGGGAGCAGCTCAGCCCAATGTGGATGTGTGGGTAGCAGGCCTGGCCCTGATCCTAGGCAGGGTGGATCCAGCCACACAGAGCTTCTACCACTCCCCTACTGCCAAATTTTCCAACCTGTAGGGAACTCCATGGGCTGGATGCCATGGCTCTGTGGGCCAGATAGGACACATGGGCAAGAGGTTGAGCACCCCTATCTAGTCTGATCTTTTGAATAACAAATGGCTGAGCTCATCCAAAATTTTTGTCAAGCCTTGGGTTGAACTGTAACTTTTATGAATATGTCTACAAGTACTGAACAATCTACTGCATCTCTGGATAACTTGTGCCAGTAGTTGATTACACCCCCTCCGTTAAACACTGTACCACATTCCTAGTCTGAATTAATCTAGCTTCAAGCTCTGACTGGTGGCTTTCATCATGGGGTTTTCTGCTTGGAATCCCTTCCCCACTTATACTCTTGTAGATTCTGACCAAATCTCCACTTATCATAGAATCATAGAAGTAGGGTCGGAAGGGACCTTGTAGATCTTCAAGTCCGACCCCCCGCCTGAGCGGGAGAAAAGACTGGACTCAAATGAGTCCAGCCAGGTAATCATCAAGCCTCTTCTTAAAGATCGCCAAGGTAGGAGATGACCAGATTAGTTTTCTCTGGGATCAACTAAATACATTGATCCTAACAACGGACAGCTTTTTCAGGCTCTCATTATAGGGCATGACTGCCAGATCTCAAATAATTCCTTTAATGATACTCTAAACCAGGAATATTA